AAAGATACTCAGCATCACTAGCCATCAGAGAAATGCAAATTAAAACCACAATGAGATACCACTTCACACTGGTCAGAATGCCCATCATAAACAAATCAAGGAACAGTAGGTACTGGAGAAGTTGTGAAGAAAAGGGAACCATAGTACACTGTTGGTGGGAATGCAGACTGGTACAGCCACTGTGGAAAACAGCTTGGAATTTCCTCAAAAAGCTGAAAATGGAACTGCCTTTCAACCTAGCGATTCCACTACTGGGATTATACCCTAAGGATCCCAAAACACCAATTCAAAAGAACCTATGCACCCCAATGTTCATATCAGCACAATTTACAATAGCCAAGTGCTGGAAGCAAACCTAAGTGCCCATCAGTAAATGAGTGGAGCAAAAAACTATGATACATTTACACAATGGAATACTACACAGAAGAAAGAAAGAAAGAACTGCTACCCTTCACGACAGCATCGATGGAACTGGAGAGCGTTATGCTAAGTGAAATAAACCATGGGGTGAAAGACAAATACCATATGATCTCACCTACAAGTGGAACCTAATCAGAAAAGCAAGCAGGTAAGGAAAAGAAGACTAGCAACAATAAAAGAAAGAAGAAACCAACAGGGTCAGGAGGGAAGGAAGGAGGGGGGTTTAGGGGTATAGAAAGGGAAGGGTCAGATTAAGGAACTGGTGTAATGTACATATGGACAAAGCCAAGGTGGGGAAGGAATGGGGAAGGGTGTGGTGAATGGGGCAGGAAGAGTGGTGGTGGGAGATAAATGTATTGGAACAATAAACAATTTTTTTTAATCTATTATGCCTATGGATGCTAAAATTGGTGAACAAAAGTTTTAGAAGAATGGGAATAGTCTCAAAGTATTTCCTCCAACATATTTATTAATTAAAAACTGTAACTTTAAGTTCACAAACTAGGCAGACACCCACCTTCACCAAGTATTCAAAGTTAACATCAATATTAAGACATTAACATTATGAATCACTTGGTATAATGAACTGAGAGGAACACAGCATTATTTTCATGGCAATATTTTAAAAAATGCATTAAAGCTCAATCTAATCATGAGAAAAAATCAAATAAACCCAAATCAGTTGATGCAGATGTAATGAGACAATTGTCCAGAGCAAAGTATATCTGAAGACTCTGGGACCTTCTCCTAGATAATAAAATCAACAGATTACCCAATGTGTCTGAGTGTCTTAAATTAAGGAGAAAAACAAATAGACAAAATCTCCAGATAATTATTAACTACAGGCACAATAAAAAGTCTAGTCAAAATGGCAGCATCAATGTGGTACTCACATTCTCTCACAACCACAAAGAAATAACAGCTAGGACTGGGCTGGGCAGCTCAGTTGCTTATAGCATTGTTGTGATATGCCAAGGTTGTGAGTTAGACCTCCAGTCAGAGCACATACAAGAGGCAACCAATGAATGTATAAATAAATGGGACAACAAATTGATGTTTCTCTCTCTCATTTCCTCTCTCCCTCTAAAATTTTAAAAAAAATTAATTATTCCCTGGCCACATGACTCAGTTGGTAGGAGCACTGTCCCATACACCAAAAGGTTGTGTGTTCAATTCCCAGTCAGGGCACATACCGAGGTTGCAGGTTCCATCTTTAGTTAGGATGCATATGTGAGGCAACAGATCTATGTTTCTCACATCAAAGTTTTTCTCTGACTCTCTCTTCCTTTTTCTCTCTGTAAAATCCATAAACATCCTCAGGTGAGGATTAAAAAAAATTACAACTGAACTACAGAAAATACATCATTCAGAATGGCCTGAAATCTAGCTGAAATGGAAGTCCTACAACTAAGGATATAAAGAAGAAGCCATGTCAAGACTGGTAGGAGGGGTGGAGATGTGAATGGTCTGGCCCCACACCCACCTTTGGTAGAGAAAAATCAGGAGACATATCTCTGCTGCAGAGGTCCACCCTAAGGAGCAAGGGGTCCCAATCTCACACCAGGCTGCCCAGCCCAGGGTTCAAGTGCCAGGAAGAGAAGTCCCCACAATTGCTGGCTGTAAAAACCAGATGGGAGTGTGACAAGGGGTTTCTGGAATCCCAGGTAGTTCCTCTTAAAGGGCCATATGCAGACTTACTTGGACTCGCTCATTCTGAGTTCCGATTCTGAGGCATCAGCTCCAAAGGCACCAGAGACATACGGGAGACGCTGATATGCCTGGTGTCAGTGCAAGAGATAGAGGGGCAGCTTTCCCCAAGACAGGAGCACTGACAGAGGCCATTGTAACACAGTTAGCCCCATCCTGGTGATTACATGAGACCCTATTCCACCCAACTTGCAGTTCCACCCAAGATAGTTTCCAGTGGCTTTTCTGTATGAATGGACTATCTTAGCTTATGCTTCAAATTTTCCTAAAATCTCTTAAGCAAGCAGCATCTGGCCTCTGTGTGTCCCATACCTCTGACTAAGTGGCCCCAAGCCCAGCACTAGTCACAACCACATCACAGGTTGGCCTCTCCTAGATACCTCCAAGCCCAGCACAAGTAGCACCCATATGCAGATCACTGTGTAGCTCATGCCAAGTGACTCCTGGCAGAACACAGGTGGCAGCTGATCGGGGACTGCATATCCTGAGATGCCCCAGAGCCAGTATACCCAGTGCACAGCTTAAGACTATGTTGAAGCACCCTGTAACCTCCTCCATAAGATACACTCTCAAGGGGCAGACTCAATGGGCATCAAAGCCCCACTGAAGTAAGCCCTGCTCCATGGGATGGGCATCTGCAGAGCTGAAACTCTACAGCAGTCGAAGCCAGTCCTGGCAGCCGATTGGCTTGGTACAAATCCCTCCCACTAATGTGCCAAAAGCAATCAAGGCTCAACTACAACAGGAGGGTGTATATTGCCTACATGGGGGCTTACCCTGAGTGTCCAGTTTAGATGAACAAGGAGGCTATGCCACTGGACCCTACTGGAGACCTACTACATTAGGCCACTTTACAAAGCCTGGGAGATAGAGCATCTCTACTTAATATAAACAATCAAACAGAGGAATTCTGCCAAAATGAGGAGACAAACATGTCCCAAATGAAAGGACAGAACAAAACTCCAGAAAAGGAACTAAATGAAAACAAACAATCTACCAGATGCAGAGTTTAAAACACTAGTTATATGGAAGCTGAAGAAACTTAGAACTTCAACAGCATAAAGAAAAAGACATGGAAATCATAAAAAAGACCCAGTCAGAAATGAAGAATACACTAACTGAAAAGAAGAATAATTTACAGGTAATTAATAATACAGTAATGAAGCTGAGAATCAAATCAGCAATTTGGAATATAAGGAAGCAAAAGCATCCAGTCAGAACAGCAAAAAGAAAAAAGAATCCCCAAAAAATGAGGACAGTTTAAGGAGCCTCTGGGACCACTTCAAACATACCAACATTTGCATTATGGGGGTGCCAAGAGGAGAAGAGAGAAAGAAATTGAAAACCTACTTGAAAAAATAATGACAGAAAACTTCCCTAACCTGGTGAAGGAAATACATACAAGTCCAGAAAGTGCAAAAACTCCCAAACAAGATGAACCCAAAGAGGCTCACAACAAGACACATCATAAATAAAATGCCAAAGGTTAAAGACAAAGAGAGAATCTTAAAAGCAGCAAAGGGAAAACAGTTACCTACCAGGGAGCTCCCAAAAGACTGTTAGCTGATTTCTCTACAGAAACTTTGCAAGCCAGAAGAGATTGGCAAGAAATATTAAAAATAATGAAAAAAACCTACAACCAAGATTACTCTACCCAGCAAAGCTATCATTTAGAATCTAAAAACAGATAGATTCCCAGACAAGAAAAAGCTAAAGTAGTTCATTACCACCAAACCAGTATTATATGAAATGTTAGTAGGTCTTCTTTTAGAAGAAGAAAGACAAAAGATATGAACAATAAAATGGCAATAAACACATATTTATCAACAATTGAATAAAAAAAGACAAATGAACAAACAACAAAAACAAACATAGATACAGAGAATATTTTGATGGTTGGAAGATGGGAGGGTGTTTGGTGGATGGATGAAAAAGGTGAAGGGATTAAGAAGTGCATATTGGTTGTTAAAGAATAGTCATGGGAATGTAAAGTACAGCATAGGGAATGTAGTAAGTAATATTCTAATAACTATGTATGGTGTCAGATGGTTATAAGAATTATCAGGATGGTCACCTAGTAAGTCATATAATGTCTAATCATTCAAGTATACACTGAAACATTATATTGTATGTCGACTATAATTGAAAAATTTTTTTAAATGATTTATAAAAGTTATACAGAAAAAGTGATCTTTATACTCACCAGCATTGCTATGACCAGCCTTAAAATCAATAATAATGTAAACAGTAGACTGTGATTTTAATCAAAACTATGATTTGGTGAGATTGACATTGGGAGATGGGAGATAGGTGTGTGCATGCACAGATGCATATGTGTTAGATTCAGGATCAAAAAGTATTAAATTCTTATTATCTTGGTGAGAAGATATTGACAAGTCTTAAACTTTAAAAAGCAAATCACAAAATAGCAACATAAACATATTTGCTAGAAACACAAAGGAAACTGCAAAAGAAAGTAAGTGGATTCCTCTAGGAAGAGGGGAACTGGGAAGCAGGGCAAAAGACTCCCTTTTTTAAAGGAATAAGCCTTACAAAAATCACTTGACTCTTTAAACACTGTGCATATATAACTTTGATAGTAATTTTCATAAAAAGAAAAACTCTAAAAATAAATCTATAAATGTATAAATGGGAAAGAAGAGCTAGGAAGGACTGGAATTCAGGGTGTAGGCATAAGTATTTTAGAGAGAATTATTTGATAGAAATAGGAAGGAAAAAACCCAAGGTGTAGGTGCGGTTTTTAAGGAAGAGCATGCTAAAAAGATTTCAGTTTTTTTCTGGAGTCAGGATAGCCAGGCCACTTGGCCTGGCACCTTACAACAGCCCACCCTTCCCAGTTCCTTGTCGCTCACCTGTATATTGACCATCTGACATCTCTTTTTCCACCATCCAAGGTTCTTTCCCTTGCTCCAATAAGGAGATTATGTTGGGCTTGGAAATGGAGAGTCCTGTTTACAGAAGAAAAATGAGAGCAAGAGAGAAAGACACAATATGCTATAGCTGTTGCAGAACTTAATACTCAATCTCTTGGTCATTAGGCAAGAAAGGACGTTAGAGGAAGGGCTAGAGAATGGAATGATGTTTGTATGGAAGATATGACTTCTTACATAGCAATGTTCTCAAAGTACTAGAACAGAAGAACCATCACCTTGGAACTTGTCAGAAGTACAAATGCTCAGTCCCTAACCCAGACCTACTAATCAGAAGCCACAATGGTTCTCAAACTTTCCTGGGCATCAGAATCATTCGGAGGGCTCATTAAAACCCAGACTACTAAGCCCATCCCCAGAGTTTATGATTTGGTAGATCTAGAGTAGAACCCTATAATCTGCAATTTAACAAATCCTCATGCCATACTGGTGCTACTATTCCAAACCATCATTCTACAGCAAAGGGAGTTATTAATTTCTAACTATAAAACTACTTGAGGTCATTTCCTGAGGACAGAAGTAGTCCTCAGCTAAGTACTTAGATGTCTTAGATATTCCCAAAGGAGGAAGCAGAAACACCCCCAAGGGAAGATTTTGAGTTAAGGGAGACGGACATCCTTACCAAGCAATACCAAATTCCTGTAGTTCTCCAACATGACATCTCTGTATAAGTCCTTCTGAGATGGGTCCAGCCATTCCCACTCCTCTTGGGAAAAATCTAGAGCCACATCCCTAAAGCTTACCAACCCCTGAAATTAAAAAAAAAATTATAAGTGGTACAAGGAAAATCATTATTGGGAAACAAGTAGATGCTTCAGTTTGTCAAATATTTTAAGACAAAAAGAAATACCAAAAACAGACTTACCTCTTGAAAATATACATTTTTGTGAAAGAAAAAGGACAGGGAAAATTAGTTCACTACATGAAACGCGAGTTTTATGACATGAAAGTATACGAGTAAAGGCAAAGTTTTATGTTACATATACATATACATATCAAGACATTCTTATAGAATTTCTTTTTATTCCCCAAACTGAGATATCAGCCTCAGAGTAGTGAAAGAGGCCTGTAATTGGGCTTTAACAAAAGGATATGGCCTGCAATTTAGACTCCATACATGAGGAGAAACTTCCAGGAGAGTATCTTAAGAAATAATGAAGTATATATGAAGAGATTTAGACTGGAAGGTAATATAAAAAAATCTAGAAAAAAAACTTACATGTCCAAAAAATTAGAGTTTAAGCTATATCACTGATCTAAATAAGCTGTATGAGGGGAAGGATATATGTTTTATAAGCTCATGTATATCCAGTGTCTATTACAAAACCTGTCACATTGTAAATACTCAGGAAATAGTTGTCACTTAGTGAATATATGGCGATTTCTATGATACACCCTATGAAAGAAGAATACTCAATGCTTAAAAATGACAGAATTCTATTTTGCATAGAATGGTTTAATTTTTGTTAAAAATAATATCAAATATGGTTATTCTACAATGTAAAAAAATACAAATAAATGTATTTTAAAGAAAAAACAGAAAAAAAATCATACAACTACAGTGTTGTATAACTTCCATGCGCTCCTGTACACTTCCGCGTTGTGGGATGCTACCTGTATTGACTACATCATATGCCTTTACCACCTCACTTTCAGTTGGGTTAAGCCATATGCAAAACATAGGAGTGAGTTGAGCAAGATACAATGTATATTCTCCTGGCTCCTTCCTTGCAGCACCAGCCTGAGTAGTCTCTGCCCTTCAATCAAAGGTCACAGTGGCTGTCAGCACCTCCCCACTCAGATATCTCTTTCTCCAGATTCAGGCCTAAACTTAGTAAGGGACCTCTGCTTTTACCCCAGGGCGTAGCACTATTCTTTGTAGTTTCTCTGTATACTTTAAATAGCCCCCTTTTGATTTTCTTGCCAGAACCCTGACTGATAAACATGCTGATTCAGTGTACTTTTAGGATATGACGAGATGATCACACAAAAGCACCTCTAGGCAACTCTAACATACTTTCTAGTAAATTCACTCTCCCACTTCCTCATGACTATTTCATACCTTCTGTCTCTCTAACTACCACCAAGTCCTCCCCTGTTCTCACTTTGAACTTCATCCTCTAGCCCCCCATAGTTTACTGACCTGGATCTGTACTCATATATTTGGCCTTCCCTTTATTACTACAGATAAAACTCTAGGCTTCCTAAATAAAACCAGTCACTCCACTTGTCCATATAAGGACATTGTCTCCTCTTTTCTTTGTAAACATCATAAAGATAACAAATATCTCCCTCATGTTACAAATATTTTCTTACTTTACTTGATTATTCCTATCAGTATGTAAGCTGATGCAATATCTTCTGTCTATAAATAGATAAACAAATTCCTTTCCATGATCTCACTTTAGCTATTGTCCCATTTCTCTATCCTTTCAATAACAAAACATTTCCAAAGAGTTGTTTATATCAGTAATGTCCAATAGAATACAACGTGAGACACATGTTATTTAAACCTTTTCAGTAGCTACATTAAAAAGTATATATAATAAGGTTAATTTAATACTATTTTTATTTGACCCAAAAATATCTAAAATATCATTTCAACCTGTAATCAATATAAAATTATCAATGCTTTGCATTCTTTTTCATACTGAATCTTCAAAATCTAGTATGTGTTTTATACATATGTAGCACATCTCAATTTGGAGTATTCATATGTGATCACTGGGTACATTACTGGACAGCATAGAAAATAGAGATTCATTATCTGTATTCTCACTTTTTTTTGCCTTCTATTCTCTTTTAAATCTATTACAGTGATGTTTTTATCCCAACCACTCTATAAACCAGCTATTTTCAAGGGCATCAGTAGCTTCCATGTTACGAAATCTATTGGCCAGTTCTCAGTCTTCATCTTCCTTAACCTCTCTCAGAAGGATGTATCTCAGTTGATCATTACCTCCTTGAAGATATTCTACTTTCGACTTCCAGAAGCCATACTCTTCAAGTTCTCCTTCTACATCAGTCCTTCTCAGTCTCTTTTGCTAGTTCTTCCTGTACTTGTCAGCCTCTAAATGATGAATGCCCTAAACTCAGTCCTTGGCCCTCTTTCCTACCTACATTCACCACAGTCCTATCCTCCGAATAATCTCATCCTATCCTATAGCTTTAAACAATTTTTTAAAATTTATTTATAGAGGAAGGGGAATTGAGGGAGAAAGGAAGGGAAACAATGATACGAGAGAGAATATGGATTGGTTCCCTCTCATATACACCCCAGCCAGGGACTGCACCCTGACCAGGAGCTGAACCCACAACCTAGGCATGTGCCCTGACCAGGAATCGAACAAGCAACATTTCACTTTCGGGGACAATGCCCAACCAATTGAACCACACTGGTCAGGGTTGTCCTATGGCTTTAAGTATACTAATGAGACTAAAATTCACATCTCCAGTCCTGAACTCCAGATATATACTCAATATTCCTCTTGGATATCCAAAAGGTCTCTCAAACTTAATACATATAGAACTAAATTCTTGATTCCCATCTCACCCCACTCAATATTTTAATCTCAATAAATGTCATGACCATTAATACAGTTTCCCAGATCAAAAATCTTTGTAGTCATCCATGACTTCTTTATTCCTCTCACATTTCACAATCAACCCTAGAATCACACCAGCTCCAATGTTGCAACCATGGTCCAAGCAGCTACAACCTCCTAAATGGATTACTGCATTGCTTCCCTGCTTAGTATCCCTGCTTCCACCCTTACTTCCCTGCTACCTCTTTTCCTTTTAAAACATAAACCAAACAAATCACAAAAATTCCAATGGCTCTCCTTCACCCTTAGAACAAAACTCAAAGTCCCAATCATGACCGTCAAGGGCCTACATAATTTGTTCTCCAGATACTCCTCTGACCTCACAGTGCTTATCTGCCTTGCATGATACTGGCTCATTGCTATTCTGAGTACAGATCAAACATGCTTCTACTATAGTAACTTCATACTTGCTACTGCTTCTACTTTTAAAGCTCTTCCCTAGATCTCCATTAAACTTACTCTGTACTTTCACTGAAGTATTTCTTTGCTTTAATGTCACTTCCTCAGAAAGGCCATCCTTGACCTCCCTATTTAATAAGACACTCAATAATCACACTCTGTCCTTTGTTTCACTTATGTTCATCTCCAATACAACTGATCATGACCCATCCAATGAGGAGGGTTCTGTTTCATCACACAACTGAGCATAACACTGAGTAAAAAAGATACTACATGTTTATATGAACAAATGTGGAGAGAGAAAAGTGGAGAGAGTGCTCACAGGGCTCTCTGTGACCCTCTCTGTTGTCCAAAGTCCTAAAAAATGAGGTAGAATTTCTGGAAACAAAGTGAAAAAAAATCAACTTACTTGGGACATGGATTTACAAATTCCAACAGCCATTCTTCCTTCCTTCTTCAGTTTTCTCTTTTGGAGAACAAAGTCCTGAGATGGGAGAGTTAAAGAAGAAAAAATGGCAGACCATTCCATTGCTGCTGACCTTAGGCTTAAAAAGATAGAACTATTGCCCCTTTAATGGTCCCCACAGTCTCAGCCCTACCACTTCCAAGATTTTAGAAAAGGCTAAAGTTGATCTTAATCCCTGAAGTCCTGACTGATAATAAGAATACATAGCTTGAATTCACCAAAATCTAAAGTCCATCCTATGGCAGTTTATGATTTGGTCATTGCTGCCCTTTAGACCTCATTTCCTATCCTTCTCCCCCTTACTCACCCCAATGTAGGCTCACAGGTTTCCTTGTAGTTCCTCAAACTGTGTGCACTCTTTTTCCAAGGCTGTTGCCTCTTCTTTTCCCATTCTTGGTTCACTCCCTTTCTTCATTGCTACCTGTGCTCAGTTGTCACCATATCAGAGAAACTTTCCTAAAAATTCTAACAAGACCCTCCCTTCCAGTCTCTTTTTCCTTATCTTGATTTATTTTTCTTCTTAGTATTTAACATCATCAAATACGGTACTTATTTTCTTGTCCTACTTATTGTTGTCTTTCCAATCAATAGTGTAAGATCTAAGAGAGCCAGAACTTATTGGTTCCACAAGGGCCATATTTTGCCGTGTATAATGCACACTTTTTTGCCCAAATTTTTGAGGAGAAAATAAGGATGTGTATTATACATGGGTAGTACTAATTTCCGTGTATAATCTGAATTATGTGGGTGCACATTATACACAGCAAAATACGGTTTATCTCTAGTGCTATAATAAAGCTAAAACCATTGTAAGTGCTCAAAAAATATGTAATAAGTGAATAAATAAATCTTACTGTGCCTCCTGTAATACAGTACTGTTACACGTTGCATATGTTGTTATCTTATTTAATCATCACAAAACTGCAAAGGTAGGTGTTATTACTCCCATTTTACCAACAACTGAAATTAAGGTTCAAAAAACTTAAGTAATTAACTCAAAGTCATAAGAGTCGAATCACAGTGTGACTTAAAAACTGGTTCTCTTCCAAGAGGCCATGATGTCTGACTGCGAAATATTCAACATAAACTGAGAAATCAATGCCATATATTTCTTAGAGAAGCATCTTTAAGAAATGGCAGGTGTTAGCATTATTACTCCACAGAAATGCAGCCTGAGGCAATCATTGCCAAATTTTAACACTAAACCAATAACAAATTCCACAGCCTCAAATATGTTCCTTGTACTCTCAGAGCCAACATTTCTTCATTCTGAAAATGAGAATGGTTGTGTTTGAATTAGAATTTAGGATACACGACCCCTAATTCTGGGCTATTCTAAACTAGTCAGCTCAGTCTCTAACAAAGTTATTTCCTTAGTGCAATGCAGCTTGAAATTCTCCATAAAATCCTTAGTAGCCTGAGGGAAGACTAAAAGTCTTCTCAGCATCTGAGAGCCCTATGGGTCGCCATAAAATAAAATACTGTATTTTAAGTTTCTGTTTGCAAATAGCTGTGTATTCCTTGGGTAATACTTTCCAAGTTTGAGATGAGCCATCAGAAACAAAGTCATGTTAAAGACTTAGTGTTGTATAGCCCCCAACCAGTTCACAGACTCCCTACTCCTTCACTGTTATCTACATCACCTTGGGAAAGTTAATCCACGTCTCAAGACCTTTTTTTCCTTACTGTCAAGACTGCATGAGCCAGCTCCAGGCATAGAAAAGTGTCACCCTTGTTTCCACTTGGATTCTACATACACATTCAGAAAGGAAATAAGAGAGTATTTTTCTTTATTAACTGAGAAAGTCAGAACCAAAATTTTGTCTCACTTAGTACATCAGAAAAACAGCCAAACAAAAGATCAGCCTCTCTCTGCACCAAACATGTAAAAGCCTGGCAAGGAAAATGCTAAAATCTTTAATTCCATGCCCTGAGGAGAAAGATGACTGAGCTTTCTGGTTGGCCTTTCCTATCCTAGAGGCAGCCAATTTGAGGTTGGTCTCAATTCAATGTCTTCAGACTTGCTCTTGTGAATCACAAAGGGAATGAAGGAAGAGACCCAGATTTCGTTCCCCTGTCCCAAAGGTTCCTAGTCCAAGACCCCAAACAATCCTTTCCAACAGCCTCAGAACTAGGGCCTCCAGTCTTCCACTTTAGTAATTAAAAGCAAGGACCTCAGGACCAAACAGCATGGGTTCAAATACCAGTTTTGTCACTTTTAACTGTGTGAACTTGGGCAAGTAATTTAAATCTTCCTGTGCCTCACAATCACATATTACGCCACACATACATACACAAAATCTCACACAATCATACCCATAATGTCACACACATACACATTAACACAAAGCCAGAGACGATGCTATACGGTTACTCCAACAAAGAGACAGTGGCACATAATCATGGTTACATATCACAAGAGACCACATATTCTATTACAATTACCCATACAAAATTTACCTGCAGAGATAGAAGGTCATGGGCACACCTGCTGACCCACACTTTCAAATAGTTATATCCACAGAGGCAAGTGGCCAAACATAAGCACATACATACACAAGTCACACCACAGTCTCTCAGAAACCTATTCGCAGTAACACATAGTTGTACCTGCAGGGACAGTCACACACAAACACACGCATACTCCAGCTTTACACCAGAGTAGGCAGTCACAGTGGCACACAATCTCTCTCACAATCTCTCAATCTCTCTCTCTCTCTCTCTCTCTCTCTCTCTCGCTCTCTCTCTCTCTCTCTCACACACACACACATACTGAAACACGAAGTCACATTGTCACACCCGCAACCTCTCACACACTTACACATAATGACTTACACATAATCTCCCCAACGACACCTGCCTGGTCGCCGCCCGCGTCCCAGCCTGTCCACTCCAAGCCCGTCTCTAACCTCTGGCTCCCGCGCGAAGTCAGGCCCAACTCACCTATCGGAACCACGGGTTCTGGAAACCCAACGAATGATACAAGAACCGCGACGTCGCCTCCCAGAACCACCAGCGGTGAGGGGAGAGGTGGAGGTTGAGGTGTGCTGAACCTCAGAAGTCGTCTGCAGATACAAACAGTTGCAGAGACTTGAACTACCTACTCAGTTTTCCCTCGAGACTCCGTAAACTGCCAGCCCCAGCAGGCTTTGCGCCATGGCTTTCTTTGCTGAACTACATTTCCCAGACTGACCAAGCCCGCGTCCACTTCGCTCTTGCGTTACGGGCTGCCGGGGACTTAAGTTCGGGTACCAGAGGGCTGTGTGCGACTCAGGGAGACCCTGAGCGACTGCGTGTGTGGAACCGGTGAAGCTGCGCGTCTGCCATTGTATGCTCAGGTGTGGAGATTTGTATGTGACTGTCGCTGCACACTTTTGTGCATGCGCACCAGGGGGTGACGGGCTCTGTTAGTGCAGTGAGTTTCTGTATATAAAATCACGTTCTGTTATTGGGAGTCATTGCGTGACAGATTGTGGGTCTATCACGCTGAGAATGTGAGTGATTGTGGGTGTATGAGAGTACTGTGGCCGACTTTGGGCTTGACCGATTCTGCACTGTGTTGTTATCCCATAGGTCGCAGGAGTTTACCTCTGACAGGGAGTAGAACTTTGTTTCTAGTCTTGCCTTTAAGATTGAATCCATGGAAGAAGTCTTTATGTGTCTCCGTGTGTGACTGTCTCCAGACCTAACTGTTCTCCCATCCCCACTCCATCCCTTATCCCAGCCATGGGCAGACTTACTGTTACCTTCCTTTTTACATCCCTTTTCTACTTGCACCAGATGGGATGTGAGAACAGGAGGGTAATTAGATTACATTTGTAGAAAGATGCTTATTTGCACCAAAGGCCTTTATGTTGTAGCCAGTGGCTGCTTCCACCTTTTCACTTTACCACTTTAATTAGTGCCCAGCTTAAGAGGCTTCTCACAGTCAGAAAGATAAATGTCAGATCCTGAGTGATGTTAAAAACAGAGATGAACAGTAATTGAAGTAGGAAGGGGGATATTTTTTATTCAGGAACTATTTCAATAGGGATAGAGAAATCAGTATTGAATTGGGCTCAGTTCCAAATACAGCAAGAACAAGTGGGGATTTATAGGCAAGGACCAAGTTGTGGAGGGAGGTTGTCAGTGTATGGAAAATTACAAAGAGGAAATTTCAGGGTAGGGAGGAATTCTCACTAGACTGACCAACAAGATTCTTGCCAAGGGGAGGCCAGGGTGATCATTTATTGCCTGGGTAGATAAGGAATTTAATTAGATACTGTGATGACATATCAAGAACTCTGGCTAAACCTGCTTGACAATATTCTTGCTAAAATTGTGTGATGCAAAGGCAAACACTTTAGTCAAAGGTTAAAGTCAGGCTGAGAAGATAAAGAGACTTTGTCAGTGAAAGTTCCAAAAATGCAGCATTCTTTCCCCTCACTAGACCCTGGGAGATCTGGAAGGTGCACACTGTTTACCAAGTCAAGATCTTGGTAAAATCTTGGTAAGTATGGATATGTGGAAGAAAGAGGAAGTTCTTGAAATGAAAACCCATCCTTGGAGAATAATCTCTCTAATCCCCTCCCCACAAAGAGCTCTCTGGCTTAAGCCAGAGACTCATGGACAAAGGGAGTCTGGCTACTAGGGCTGAAGAGATTTGCTGTTATGAAATTGGGCATTGTTACTTTGAGGAAAAAAAGCAAGCAATTGTTTTTGTTTTTAAGGTTCTATAAAAATTTAATAGTTGGATTGCTTTAATGGGGAAATTTACTAGTTAGGTATTCTTTGGATGATAATTATGATTTGGTACTGGTACATACATCAAATATCTCTTCCCTGGACTTGATTACCATACAGGTTAGAGATCATCTTGCACATTTCAAACCAAAGTGTTAGAAATTTAAGATGACCTGTTCTGGATTGGCAAGGTATGCCTTCAGAGAAACTTTGTATATATATATGACCATCTCTTCATATGTCAGTAATCGATCATAGGAAGACTTTTTGTCCTTTATTTTCCTATCTCAAATCACCAAGTCCCAGTTATCTCCATTAGAGTAGGGCAGTGTTCCTCAAAGTATGCCAACTAAATAAGTAGTTACACTGCTAAAAAAAAAATTGTGGTAGGACTAACCAACAGAGTTTGGTCGAGAAAGCAGAACTACAGTGGGAATTTCAAACAGGAGGTTAATTATGGTAAGTTAATTACATGTATTGAAGAATTGAAAGAATAAAGCAGGGATAGAATTATTATTATGAAAAAGAAGAAGGAGAAGGAGAAGAAAGAAGAAGAAGGAAGAAGAAGAAGAAGAAGAAGAAGAAGAAGAAGAAGAAGAAGAAGAAGAAGCAGCGGCAGCAGCTAATGCCCTGGAGCTTGGGGATCAAAGCAAGAAGAGGTGGATTTACCAGAACCTAAGATCTCTGATAGGAGTCTCAGGCTGACTGTTAAATGAGTTTGGTAGTCAAGTGCTAGAAAAGCAGAAAGAATTGCAGGCTCTCTGTAGCCCTTCTCTGCTGCTAGAGAGATACTGAAAAACCATAATAAAGGAATCAAGTTCATTCTCCCTTTCTGCCTTCCAACTTCCCTTTAATGTCTCCATTGACAAACTAAAACAGAAAGCCAGTTAATAAAGGGAGACTTGGAAATGTTTTTGTCAGAGTCCCAGCCCCAGCATTACAGAATAGAAAAAGGCATGCTCAAAGCTCTACTTTTTCAATATATTTTTCTTCCCCAAAACTTTTAATAATAATGTTACTTATTCTTATAAAATAATCATATTAGATTACAAAAATGGTGCATATTTTATGAGTATCTTAATAACAAAGCAACACATTTAAATTACTTATATCTAATTTAATATACAGTTATTTGGATGAACTCATATTTTTACCTATTTTGTTGTAATTTATAAATATATTTATGGGGGGGTCCCCACATTGGGTGCTAGATGAGGGGGGCACCATGTCCCGTGCAGAGTCCACCTGGGAATCGCTGTGGCTGGAGGGAAATAAAATAAGTCATTCCAGATACTTCTCAGTCTGCCAGGAAAAGAAGGTGGTGATTCCCACTAGTGGAGAATGCCTCAAGCCCTTCTCCTGAAGTGGCTTTTATTGAGAATGATATGTACAGCATGCATACAAAGCTCATCAATCAATTTCAAAAGGCTATGTTTACAGAAAACAGATAGAGATCATAGATAACAATTGAAGAAACACAGACTTGCCTCAGGTCAGGGTCCACTGGACAAGGTGGCACCCATTGGGCCCTGAAACCTGGGAAACTGATCACATTCTATGCTGGACCCTAAACATCAGTACCCATTAACTCAAGGGCATTCTTAGCAAAGTAAGTTTCATAGGATTTAATGCACTCCTTTTCCAGGTCTAAATGTCCCTGGGAACTGCCTGATCCAGTTTAGGGCTGTATCTGCCTTTAGTATTGCTTAAAGCCTGAGCCAGAAGGGTGGAGCAGAGCAGCCAAGAGATAAGGAGGCTTCTTTCAGGTAGAATGAGGACTCCAGCGATGACAAAGCCAAGGGTGAGGGTCTTTTGCCCTTCTCCATGTCCCCCAAGTCCTTTCCTGATGGCCCCCATGCGACTATGCCTGTCTTAGGTTGCCCCTGTCATCAAGGAATCTTACCTGTCATTGACTAACCAGCTATCCTCCAGGGCCAAGCAGGGTGATGTGAGGGAGGCAGGGGCTGTGCCCCTGCCAGAGGGACAGGTTTTGTCTCCTCAATGGCCTATTTTCTCAAGGCCTCCTTGCCCAGCTACAACCTTGGGGCCCTCTCACCTTTTGGTGAGGCTACAGTCCCTGAAACCAGCCAGGACAGGTCCCAACAATATACATTTTCTCAACTTTGTTATCTAATGTAAATATTTTCTCAACGTTGTTATTATCTAAAATAATATTTTATGGTGAATTTCTAATTACCCTCATGACTTCATAATGTGAGAGTCATGGAATGTGACTTTTTGGTGAACTATTATGTACATTAGTTATTTCTTTCTTTTTCAAGTAGTTATTTAACACATATTTTATTATTATTATTTTTTATTTATAAATCATGTTAATTCTACTACAGTTGTCTCAGTTTTTCCCCCTTTACCCCTCTCCACCCATCCCTCCCTCATCCCACCCCGACTCAGTTCCCAATCTGTTGTCGATGTCCATGGGTCATTCATACATATTCTTTATCTATTCCCTTCCCCTTCTTTACACCATAGTCCTCTTTCCTCCTACCCTCTGGTCACATTCAGTCTGCTCTATGTTTCCATGCCTGTGCTTTATTTTGTTCATTAGTTATTTTGTTGAATAGAATCCACTTATAGGTGAGATCATATGGTAATTGTCCTTCATCAACTGGCTTATTTCACTTAGCTTAATATTCTCCGCTTCCATCCATGTTGTCACAAAAAGTAAGAGTTCCGTCACTCTCTTTCTTTCTTTCTTAAATGTAGATTGGTTTTGATTATTTTTAAAATGTCAAAGTTAATTATAAAATATTTTTTAAAATTTAAAACCATTATAAAGTCTCAGTAATTAAACAAACATAACACCAGCACAGAAATAATCAAGTAGATCAATGAAATATAATGAGAATTCTAGGGACAAATGTATATATCTGATTAATATATGTATGATTAAATTGATACTTCAAATCAATGGGTAAAATAAGGGTTATTCAACAAACAAGGTGCATGGACCACTATTACTTGAAATAAAACAAATATAGAGCCCTATTTCACACATTATACAAGAAATATCCAGGTGAGTTAAAAATAAATATGTAGAATCTAAAGAGTTTTAGAAGAAAATAGAACTAATATTTTTCATGACCTGAAGTAAAATATTCAACCCCAGAAGCTATAAGGTAAATATTGACAATATGACTATATTAAACATTTAACTATATAGTAATATACATATTAAAAAAGGTTAAAGGACATGGAATAGAATAGAAAAGTATTTGCAACACATCTAAAACATGGTTAATAGGTTTTTTCTTTCTTGTTTTTTCTTTTTAGGGAAAAAAGTTATACAAACCTTTAATCAATAAATGGATAAAGAATACCAAAAAGTCATTTAAAGCTTGTTTAAAAAAAATAATAGAAATACCCAAGAAATATACTAAAGCAGGTTT